GGTAGACAATCCTGCACGGCGGCAACACAGCCTCAAAACGGCTTTGGCACGGCGCTGGCACGACGCTGGTACTGACAGCAGCTCTGGAGGCGAGAAAAGAAGCATCTTACCTGTTGAAGCTAATTTCCGGGCTGTTCGGCCTTTTTACACTAAGATGATCTGGAGAGCCAACGTCACAGGGAACTGAACGTCTTACCAAACGACGTCGGCGAATCTCAAACATTAGTTGTTGGCAAAATAGTTGTAGACACTTAGTATCATGACAAACATTATTCAATTGGAGCTTACGAGCAATGATTACGTTCAGCAAAGTCATCAGAGCAACGAAAAAGAATCGTAAGCATTCTCGGATCAATTTATAGTAGTTATAAATTGTCCAGTGAGGTTCCCTGTAAATGAAAATTTACACAAAGTGCCTATTTTTACGAAAAAGTTTAAATAGAAGAAAAAAATTCCTATTAGGTGGTAAGCAGCATGAAACATATTCTGTAGTAAATCTTATTTTTCGTACCTGCAGAGTAAATCCACATTATTTGCAATATGATACGAGCCATCATTACTCAATTTGATAGTAGTCTGAAGCATCATTGGAAGATGTAACAAAGCGGCTAAACCCAGCATCGCTTGAATTTTTCGTCTAGCCATTTTATGGGGATTGTAGAGAAGTTGCAGATGTGGCCGAGATATGAGTAGACACCTAAGATTGAACACTTGAAGCAATTCCGAAAAGCCACAGCCATAGTTGCTCATGCAAAGATCCAACACTTATTACCAAGCAAAACAATTCATTTTGAAGAAAACGAAATTTCAGTCAAATTTCTGAGATTTGAAGGCACGAAATATGGTTGGGGAAGTTTTGAAGCATGACAGGAAAGATCTGATAATTAATTTTGCAGCATGGTTGAAATACAAAGTCGAGAATGGAACAAAATAAAGTTCTCACTATGAAAGCTCAGAAGTAAAACATCAGTAGTAGACTTTTTGAAAGAGTATTTATTTTACTAGCCTAAACTGATGATAATGTCAAATCATAAACGACCTATTCAACGGGGGAACTGCGTGATCAAGAAGATTTGGAATTAAAAGACGAGAAAAAATCAGAAGCGGAGAAATGGTCGTACTACTTTTTACTTTGTTCCTGTAAAAACTTATATTTCTTCAAAAAGCTTGCTGACATGCTCAAAAATATCCAAAACAATCGAATGCAGTGATAAATTTAGTATTTTCGACTTTTTCAAAAGTCTGAACGAGGAGACTGAAGTAAGATTAGTTTACGAAGAACATGAATGTAATAGATATAAGTATGATACAGAATGACAAAAAATTTGGAAACAAAAGATAAGCCTGCAGAACTTTTTTTTAACAGAAGGGTAACCTTCTGAAGTTGAAAACTACCTTTCCACCGTAAGCATGAAAGCACAATAGAGGCCTGCGACTAGGAACGTATTTATAAATGGCGCCTCTACATAGTTCGAGTACACTACAAGAATGTAGTGTTTGGTAGTTCTTTCAAGCATGAAATGTACCAGTATAGCTGACAATGAGATCTGTAACAAAAATCGGAAAAAATACGTCAGAAAAAGCTGAAATAATCAAAATTTACCAGATCAAAATATGCTAAAGAGCGAATATACATGAATGGTACAGTTTGCAGTGATGGGCTTGCCAATGTACGCAAGTTCAGAATGTTACCCGTTATGCCGATCACGCAAAAGATTATCTAGAACTTTATCATTGTACTGAGTAAACAGTACTATATGAACAAACTATACCTGCAGTATTGTGAAAGTACTTCTCATATGTGTCATTTGAAGAGCAAATTCTTCGGTGACGTTGGAACGTGAAAGTTCTGGATGGCAAAAAGCTTGCATCTGAATTCCCTGAAATTTACATAGCGTTGAATTTAGAGCCTTAGTGAACATATTCTAAAACGAGTGCAACTGAGAATGTCTCAAATCAAACATGGAATGAGATTTAAGGTGAGTGTTGTAGGGACTGATTGTGAGTTTTTTATTCACATCATTTCAAATCTGTATCAATCGATCACAGTTCCACACAATTTTTGCCTTGTACTGTACTCCTTGTCCTTTCGAATCTGTTTTGTAAGGGTTATCGAGCTTCAGCGACGGACCAAATCAGCTTGAGAGTCTTTTAAATAAACTGGTTCTTATGGTCGATGCAAAAAAGAACGGTCTACAAATGTAGAGCTTATCATGGAATTGAGTCCATATTTCTTTTGAAAAAATTTATCCAATATGGGCAGATATAGCTTGCCAAATTCAGCAGAAGGTGTTAATTCCTCTTTCGACTTACTCTCTAACAGTTTCCCTGAGAAATTTAAGAAATTTTCGGCTTTAAATTCGGTTCAGAGGAGATTAGAATTTAGAACGTTTTTAGAAGAATAACGCAACTAAAATGGAAAAAACGGTACCTCCATAAAATAGATACGAAGCAATTTTTTTCTTCTATAACTACCATTGAGTATAATAAAGCTAATACAATAATCCAAGAATATCCAAATTGCATGATCGAATAGTCAAAGGTCAAAGGTTCAAAGTCTGGGTAGAAACTAAGAATCCAGTGTTATTGAAAGAAGAAGTATACAAACTATTGCTAGCCATATTCGGTGCAATTTCTAAAAACTGGAATTAGGTCGTGCTCGTAATTAAAAGATAAAAGACGCATCAAAAACTAAGCTTCAGGCATCAATATGCAAATCTCCTCGCAAAATCCTCAATTGTTTCTATAGTGAATAGATCTAAAGCAAAAAGCATTTCTTTTGAATGAGATCTGCATTACGAACAATAGCGTTAAGCTCAGGATTTGCACATAGTCATCTCTAAATGCCTAGCATTACTCTGCTTGTCTCAAATTTCACTGCGAGCGGAAATTTTGGCAAGTGGTGTGGAGAATATTTGGTCACGATCATTGGTTAAGTGATATAAAAGCACTGAATGAGCCAAATATGTTATTCATAATTTCATAGATTAATACAGTTAGCCTTCAAAATATGAGTGAGCGCCAAATAAGTGGCGCGTTCCAGCTTCATCTCAAGAATTTGGCTTTCATTTTTTTGGCAAGTCTTAACTGGCCCAAACAGATTTCAATACTCACTATTCTTAGATATTCACAGCATTCAATGGCAATTTGAATCAGCATTTTTAATTTGATAGTGTATGCCAGCATTTGGAAAAGGTAAGAATATTCTAATTTTCGTCCACGTACAATCCATGGAAGTCATCTAAGGTTCGCTGATTTTCCTCACACCTATGAAACGAATTAGATTCATAGTATAAAAATCGCTGATTACAATTTCGAATTTCCTTTTTTTTC